CTTCATCATTGTCTGTTCTTAGTCCTGAAGCTCCACTGAAACCTGTTCCCATGGGTGACCACGACATAGCTTTCAGCATGTCAGACTGACAAACTGTATGACAAGATTGTCATACAGTATGAAAAACAGACAGACAGATGGTGGATCCAATTCATAGCAACCATATATAGGGTTTATGAGATTGTGTAATCTTTGTAGAATGAGACTGCCTCATCTTTCTCCCTTGGGGTGGCTGGTGGGTTTAAACCAGGGAACTTGAAGTTAGCAGCCCAACTCAATAAACATTTGTTGGATGAATAACAAAATTGATCAGTTGAATTAATATTTATACTGTTCATTGTGTTCGTTGTTCATAGTCCTGATAATTGGCTCAAGGCTAGTTTTGCTCCACAGACTAAAATTAGAAGAAGATTCAAGACACAAAGGTAAACAGGACATGTCGCATGGAGGCAAATGGAAACTGCAATTCATGTGCATCCAGCAAGCACATCATTCTGGTGTTGATAGGCTATTGGAAAGCAGGCTAGAAAATGGCTAGCACAGGCATCTACTGACTTGCACAGGACTCTAACTGTGGCTTCAGATTAGCCCACTTGGTGTCCCTTGACTTGGCGTCACTTTTCAATGAACTTTTTTGCAAGAAACCCCAAAGAGAGGTGGATTGCATATGCGGTTTGCCTAGGCACTGTTCCTGGTTATTAAGTATTTAAAAACTAGGTTCCAAAGATTTTTCTTTTCTTTTTAAATCATTTTATTGGGGGATCATACAACTCTTATCACAATCCATACATACATCAATTGTATAAAGCACATTTGTACATTCGTTACACTCATCATTCTCAAAACTTTTGCTCTCCACGTAAGCCCCTGGCATCAGCTCCTCATTTCCCCACCGCCTTCCCCACTCCCCCCTCGCTTATGAACACTTGATAATTTATAAATTATTATTTTTTCATATCTTGCCCTGTCCGACATCTCCCTTCGCCCACTTTTCTGTTGTCCATCCCCCAGGGAGGAAGTTATATGTAGATCCTTGTAATCAGTTCCCCCTTTCCACCCCACCCTCCCGGTATCGCCACTCTCACCATTGGTCCTAAAGGGATCATCTGTCCTGTGGATTCCCTGTTTCCAGTTCCTATCTGTGCCAGTGTACATCCTCTGGTCTAGCCAGATTTGGAAGGTAGAATTGGGATCATGATAGTGGGTGGGGAGGAAGCATTTAGGAACTAGAAGAAAGTTGTATGTTTCATCGTTGCTACACCGCACCCTGACTGTCTCCTCCCCACGACCCTTCCATAAGGGGATGTCCAGTTGCCTACAGATGGGCTTTGGGTCCCCACTCCGCACTCCCTCATTCATAATGATATGATTTTTTGTTCTTTGATGCCTTATACCTCATCCCTTCAGACACCTCGTGATCACACAGGCTGGTGTGTTTCTTCCATGTGGGCTTTGTTGCTTCTAAGCTAGATGGCCGCTTGTTTACCTTCAAGCCTTTAAGACCCCTCCAGGCTATGTCTTTTGATAGCCGGGCACCATCAGCTTTCTTCACCACATTTTCTTATGCACCAATTTGTTTTCAGCGATTTTTATCTGGGAGGTGAGCACACAATGATATGAGTTTTTGTTATTTGATGCCTGATAACTGATCCCTTTAGCTCCTTGTGAACACACAGGCTGGTGTGCTTCTTCCATGTGGGCTTTGTTGCTTCTGAGCTAGATAGCCATTTGTTTACCTTCAAGTTTTTAAGACCCTTGATGCTGTATCTTTTGATAGCAGGGCTCCAACAGCTTTCTGTGGGATTATAGAGACTTCCCCAGCTTTATCTCCCCCAAAGACATGGGGGGAGGTCAGATGCTTACAGACATCCTCCCTGGAGGCAATCAGTTGCCAGACTACAGTAGGCCCTGCTCCCTGCTATTAAAGACAATGGACAGGCCTGTGGTCAATGTTTGGTTCCTGTCCATGGGGTTCACACCCTACTGATAATGGTTTCTATGGAGATCCAGAGAACAGATCAAACTGGCTCAGTTACATCCAAAGTTAGGCTGCCATCCTGTATTTAGGATCCATCCTTCTTGTCACATGTATACCCCCTATCCCTCCTCTTCCTATTGCGTGTATGTCCCTAGATTGTCCCCTTCTCATTGCTGTATAACCCATAGTGCAACCCCTTCCTGTGACATGTCTTTACCTGTAATTAGTGGGCTTGGACGCCCCCAGAGGTATATGGGCCTGGGCTAACAATAGAGAGTTCTCTCTGTGCTCCTCCCTTGGCCTCTCCTTGGCTCCCTCTCCTCCCCTGTTCCCTTTCCCTTTGTCCTCCTTCCTTTCCCCCTCTCTCCACGTGCACCACCAAGCGGGGCTGAGGTGAGCATACTACCATGAAATGTGTCTGACTCCAATTTTTCAATATCTTTTTTATCTCTCATGCTCTTGATGACTTTAATATAATATTTATATTCTCAACCATACAGTTGTGCTAATTAAACCCACGATTAGTGGTGGGGGGCTGGCAACCCCCCTCATACCACAGCTTTCATCACCATATTTGCTTACGCACCGGCTTTGTCTTCAGCGGTTGTATTGGGAAGGTAAGCATCATGGAATGCCAGTTTAATAGAACAAAGTATTCTTGCAGTGAGGGAGTACTTGAGTGGAGGCCCAATGTCCATCTGCTACCTTAATACTAAACCTATAAATATATGCACATAAGTCTATTTCCCCATCCTCATAAATAAATATATTTACATATGTACATGTCTTTATTTAAACCTCTATAAATGCCCTTTGCCTCCTAGCTCTTTCCTCTATTTCCTTTTACTTTCCTCTTGTCCCACTATCATGCTCAGCCTTCATTTGGGTTACAGTAGTACCTCTAGGTTACATTATGCTTGATCACGCCCTACCAGGCCTCCTACACCCTCTTCACTACCGATTTAGATCACGTGTTGTTCCCTTGTCCCTGGGTTTGTTATGACCACTACCTTTCTCATCACCTCCCCATCTGCCATGTCTCCCTGGAACTGTCAGTCCCATTGTTTTCTCCTCCAGATTGCTCATCCAGCCTTATTTAGACAGACCTACGGAGATAATAACATGCACAAAAACAAGACAGAGCAAATGCAAGCAACAAAAGAAAACAAAACAACAACAACAATAAAAAGCCAATGACAAAACAAAACAAAAAAACCCACAACAGTATAACAACAAAAAAGCAAAGCTTGTAGTTAGTTCAAGGACTGTTTGTTGGCCTTTAGGAGTGCCAAACATTTTTCGTTTTAGAGATTATGCCTCTTGTAAAATGCTTAGTTTTTTCCTTTAAGCTTAATTTGTTTTATTTTACTGAATTATTAATGTTTTATCCTACACATACTTATAATACTTCTATTTTATTGTTTATCCTTCTTCTGAAACTCATTTATTTAGGAGTCCTGCAGGTATTGTTGGGTAGGCAAGGTCTTACAGTTCAAAATGACCAAAGGCTCCCCCAGAGAAAGAGGAGCGGGTTGCTCCTGTAATGATTTACAGCCTTGGAAACCTTATAGACAGTTGCTATGAGTTAGAAATTACTTGAAGGCAGTGAATTAATTATTTTGTAAACTATTTGGTTATTTTTAAAAATTCAGATTCATTATTGTCTGGCTGAGCATGTACACTTCTAACAAGTGGCTGAGGGATGCTGATGCTGCCGGCCTGGGGGCCACACTTTGACAACCACTATTATTGCCTTTTCTGTGGCACGTGGGGCTGTTCATCTAACAACCACAGCAGCAGCTATCTACCTTGCCTGCACCAGAGACTCACCCAGATCCATTTTAAGTACTGATGCCTGAGTTCTACCCTCGCTCCTACCCCGAGAGCCAATTAAATCTGAATCTTCGGAGTTAGAGCCCTAGACCTTACTGTTCAAGCGAACTCTAGGATTCAGAAGATTCAGCTGGTCAGCAGAGTCCATCATTATGGAAACATCATCCATCGTAGCTCAGCAAAGTCTTACAGGGTTGCTTCAAATCAGAATCAACTAGATGGCAATCGGTTTGGGCTGTACCCTATTATTGAAAGCCATTTTAGTCATCCTTCACTGACAGCTTTCTGCCTTACACAGATGTTGATATTTGCAAACTTTACTGGATAGATGATAGAGATGTTCAATTCTCAGAAGGAGCTGAAAAAGTTGGTGGAAAAAATCCATTATCTTTATATCCCATTTTTCTATGAACTTCTCAAAGTTCATATAAAAGAAAAGTATATTTGGAAATTATGTGTTGGGCTGCTAACCCCAAGGTCAGCATTTTGAAACCACCAGCTGATCCAAAGGATAAAGATGGAGCTTTCTACTCCTATAAAGAGTTGCATTCTCAGAAGCTCACAGAAGGACAGTTCTACCCTGTCATACAGGTACCCTGTGAGCCAATATTGACTCCATGGCAGTGAGTTTGGTTTGGTTTACATGTATGTATATGAATATACTGTATATGAGAGATTTTACACAAACACACACACACAATGGTTATGCATACAGCTGCTAATCAAAAGGCTGTCAGTTTGAACCCAACAGACTTTGGGGTAGCCCTCCTCTATCTTATAGGGTTGTTATGAATCAGAGCTAACTTGATAGCTATATTACTTTTTTAATATATAAAAGAGATTGTGGGTGTTGTCATATCTAAGAGATACAGTGGAACTTATGAGAGCCAGAACTGGAAGGGATTTCGTTGTCTTTCTGGGTCTTCCAAGTTGTTTGCCTTTGACAGCGTACAGTCACCACTTTCAGGTCTCCCTTCTCTGACGTTTTTGTTCTTTACATGGATTCTGGCTCTCATAGGTTTAGATAGATAGATAGATAGATAGATAGATAGATAGATAGATAGATAGATAGATAGACAGATAGGTAGATAGATAGATAGGTAGATTAGAGATATAGATATATAATTGACTAGGTGATTTCAATGACCATACATCATACTAAAGTACTTCTTGTATTATTTTTCCCGAGGAGGAAAAGTGCACCTGCAATATGAGTGAACAAGTACCTCTACCTGAAAAGATCCAGGACTGGACCAAAGAACACGTGGAAAAATGGGTCACCGAAGCCCTGAAGATTGATGACAAATATGGACACATTCTGCTCAGAGAAGAAGTGACAGGATTGGTTCTACAGGAATTAACTGAGAAGGACTTGAGAGATATGGGATTACCAAAGGGCCCAGCACTTTTGATAAAGCGTGCGTTTAACAAATTGAATAACAGTTCCTCTGAAAGTCATAATCAGGAATCTGGGCAATTTGATCATACAAAACCCTCTAAAAAAGAGCACACAAAAAAGTCACAAGAGACAAAAAAGAAAAAGTCAGTATCAAGTGATATTGATCATGACCTCACTGAGAGTGGAGGTACCAAAGAACAAGAATCCATTCCTATGAAAGAAAAGGCAACCAATGTAGTAGCAGGTACTGACGGCAAAACTAAGAATGAGGTAAAAATTGAACAGGTAACTTGCATGCCGTACCCTTTTGATCAATTCCATGACAGCCAACGATATACAGTGCATTGCATTCTCCCGCCTGAAACCGGCCCACTCAATCTCATTGACCCAGTTCATGAGTACAAAGCCTTGACAAATACAGACACAGCCACAGAAAAGGACATGCTCATGAAATTTAGTAATGAAGTCTTCCGATTTGCATCAGCTTGTATGAACTCACGGACAAATGGTACCATCCACTTTGGAGTCCAGGATAAACCCCATGGGGAAATAGTTGGTGTGAGAGTCACCAGGAAGGATGCCTTCATTGACCATTTCAATGGAATGATCAAGCAGTATTTTGAAGAGAGTCATATCAAGGAAGCCAAAAAGTGCATTCGGGAGCCCAGGTTTGTGGAAGTCCTCCAGCAGAACAATACACTATCTGACAAATTTGTCATTGAAGTAGATGTTATTCCAAGACACTCAGTTTGTAAAGAGAAGTATTTCTACATTACGATGCAAAATTGTAAGGACGGACCGTGGAGACCAAACAAAGAGCATTCCCTCTTTGTGAGAGAAGGGGCAAGCTCCAAAGATGTTCTCGCCAACATCAAGCAACGGGATGCAGACTTTAACGCATTTATGAGAAATCTGAAGTCACTGGCAGCATGCAGACGAGAAGCAGAAGAAGAGTATGGAGTGAAAGCAAACGTAAAGGAGAGTGAAGGGCTAAAACTAGTTAAACTTCTCATCGGAAGCCGAGACTCACTAGATAATTCGTACTATGACTGGTACATTCTTGTCACAAATAAATGCCATCCAAACCAAAGAAAGCACTTCGATTTCCTAAAAGAAATGAAACTGTTTGCGGTGTTGGAGTTTGATCCCGAGTCCGAGAGCACTGGGGTGGTCAAAGCTTACAGGGAACGCAGAGTCGCGAATCTGCACTTTCCAAATCAGTACGAAAGAAAGACAACGACAACGAGAGAGATGATATCGATTCTGAACCTTTACGAACAGCCCAGCTGGATCTTCTGCAATGGAAGGTCAGACTTGAACAACGAGTCCTACAAACCGCTTGAACCCCACTTATGGCAGAGGGAACGAGCTTCTGAAGTCCGGAAAGTGATTTCATTTCTCACCGATGAAGACATCATGACCAAGGGGAAATTCCTGGTGCTCTTTCTATTACTCTCTCCTGTGGAAAGCCCGGGGGACCCTCTCATTGAAACGTTCTGTGCTTTCTACCAAGCACTCAAAGGGATGGACAACATACTGTGCATCTGTGTAAACACACAGATTTATCAGCGATGGAGAGACCAACTGCGAACAAGATTGACCATCGCAGATGAACTAACAAACCACAGTATTTCTACCTTAAATTTAGAACAGATAAACAGTACTATTCTTAAGCGAAAATCAGTGATTCAGTCTTCCAAAAGGTTCCTGCCTTCCCGCGGGTCATCCTCGGTCATCCTGGAGAAAAAGGAGGAGGACATCTTGACGGCACTAGAAATCCTCTGTGAGAATGAGTGTAAGGACACGGCCATCGAGAAAGATGGAGCCAAATTCCTAGAATTTAGGAAATCCAGAGAAGAACACTTTTATCGAGGCGGCAAAGTATCCTGGTGGAACTTTTATTTTTCTTCCGAAAGTTATTCTTCCGCTTTTGTCAAAAGGGACTGTTACGGAGACCTTAAGGAACTGATACAGTCGTGGACAGAGTCTCCTAAACCAGTATTTGCAAAAATCATCAATCTTTATCATCACCCGGGCTGTGGGGGGACCACCTTAGCAATGCATGTTCTCTGGGACCTAAAGGAAAAGTTCCGATGTGCTGTGTTAAAAAATAAAGCAACTGATTTTGCAGAGGTGGGAGAACAAGTGATCAATCTGATCACGTATAAGGCGCCCAGCCATCATGAATACATCCCTGTACTTCTCCTTGTGGATGACTTTGAAGAACTAGAGAACATCTACATTCTACAGAACGCCATCCACTCTGGTTTAGCCGAGAAAGGTTTGCGATACGAAAAAACACTGGTAATCATCTTAAACTGCATGAGGTCCCAGAATCCTGAGAAAAGTGCAAAATTACCAGACAGTGTTGCACTGAAACACCAACTTTCTTCCAAGGAACAAAGAGCATTCGAGGCCAAGCTGGAGGAAATAGAAAACCAACACAAGAACTGTGAGAACTTTTATTCCTTCATGATCATGAAGAAGAACTTTGATGAGACATATGTGGAAAAGGTAGTCAAGAATATCCTGAAAGGGCAGACTGTCCCCAGCAAGGAAGCGACACTCATTTCGTTCCTGGCTCTGCTTAACTCTTATGTTATTGATTCTACAATTTCAATGTCAAAGTGTGAACAGTTTTTGGGGATAGCATGTACGAGGAGGACCCCCTGGGCACCGGACACCCTGGAAGACAAGATGGGAACCTACTGGACACTTCTAATAAAAACAGAAGTTGCAGACTTTGGGAGATACACAGGGGTGCGCGTCATTCATCCCCTGATTGCCAAAGGGTGTCTAAAAGAACTGGAAAACAGCTATAACTTGGATCAAAGTCAAATCGCACTGGAGCTATTGCAAGAAGATTTATTCTATGTTTCAGGAATAGGTAGAGACAAATTTCACCATGATGTGCAAACCCTTCTGCTAACAAGACAGCGCAAGGAGTACGGTGATGAAACAGACACTCAGTTTTCCCCGTTAATTGAAGCCTTGCCGAACAGAAAAATCGAAGCTGTCTTGACAGCAGGGACTAAGCAATTCCCCCAGAATGCTATGGTTTGCCAAGCCTTGGCTAGATATTTCTACATCAAAGATAAGAACTTCAACACTGCTTTGGAGTGGGCACATAAAGCCAAAATGATAGCACCTACAAATTCCTATATCTCAGACACGGTCGGTCAAGTGTACAAAAATAAAATAAAATGGTGGTTAGATGAAAACAAAACCTGTAGGAACATTTCAGTTCGTGAGCTAGCACAGTCCCTGGAAGCAGCTGAAAAAGCCGCAAGAGCTTTCAAAGAATCCCAGCAACAAACCGATAGTAAAAACAACGAAACAGAGGCCTGGTCACTACAGAAGTCCCAAAGAAAATATGACATGTATAACACGGCTGGTTTCCTGGGTGAAATAGAAGTTGGTCTTTACACTATCCAGATTCTTCAACTCACTCCCCTTTTCAATGCAGGAAACGAATTCTCTAAGAGACCAGTGGAACAGCTTTTATCAGAAATAGAAAATAGCCCTACGAATACAAAAGATGAATATTATTTGACGCTGAGGAATTTCACGTCCTACCTAAGCAATTTACAATTTGATTTAAAAAGATGCTTTGACTTTTTTGTTGATTACATGGTTCTTCTAAAAACAAGGAATATCCAAAAAGAAATTACAGAAATCACATTAAACAAGAAAGTCAGCCGTTGTTTCAAGAAGTACAGGGAACTTTTCTGCCATTTGGACTTGGATCCATCACAAAGCAAAGAGTTTCTACGAGAGGAGGATTGCAGGAGATGTCTAGAAGCTTGGAGAGCAGACAGGTTTTCTGGACTCCTGGACTATCTTACCCCAAACCACAAAGATGCTGCAAACACAATGGAGGACATCGTGAACAAATACAGCTTCCTACTTAAGCAAAACCCAAATAAGAGGCTGACAAAGGAGAAGCAAAATTTCATCTTGGCAAACATTATCCTCAGTTGTCTGAAACCCAACTCCAAATACATTCAACCATTTAACACGCTGAAGAAACAGCTCCGAGAAATCTTGCAATCGATAGAACCCACGCATCAGTATCCAGACCCTTACTTCTTAGCCTGCCTCCTGTTCTGGCCAGAAAATCAGGAGCTAGATCACGACTCCAAACAAATGGAAACCTATGTGTCGTCGTTAAACAGGTCCTTTGGCCGGTATTACAGACCTATGTGTCGATCCAAGCAGGCCAGCACCCTGTTCTACCTGGGGAGGGGCAAGGGGCTGAACAGCATTGTTCACAAAGCTGAGATAGAACAGTACTTCAGTAAGGAGGAAAATACAAATTCCCTTTGGCACAGTGGTGTTGTGTGGAAAAACCGGGCAGTCCAAATCATTTTGCGTCGTCTAGTTGGTCAGGCTATTGGCAAGCTAATCTTTATAGAATATGGAACAAAGGAAAAAGTGAAAATACCAGTGGTATCTGTTTACTCAAATCCACTCAGAAGTGGTGGGAACATAGAGAATGTGTCCTTCTACCTAGGATTTTCCATAGAAGGCCCTCTGGCATATGACATAGAAGTTATTAAGATATAATCACTTGAATACATTCATGCATGTGTGGTTTCATGTCAGCTTGGCCGAACCAGGATTCTCCCATGATGTAATCAATCCATGTTGGGCTCTGCTGTGAGCCAAGCAGTGATATCTCCTCAGGGGTGTATAGTTTCTCTTCTTCCCGACGGCCTCGATCTTGCATGTGCCTCATCAATATCTGGTTCTTGAGCTAATGGCCCACCACATTGCCTGCCGCCACGGCTGGGAGCTATCAACAGACTGTCATGTTGCTTGCTGATCCCGGGAGCCATCAGAGTCTCTCAATCTTAGATTCATTTGACTTTTCCAGCCACCAGCCTGATCTGGCATCCACCAGTCTGTGGTTTTCCTGCCTCATTATCCTTTCTTCCTGAACTGTTGGCTCCAGCACCTGTATGGTTTAGGAAGACCCTTAACTGAGCTTAACATCTGACTTATGAACTTGAACCAGACAGGACTCACCTCACTGTGTGAGCCATTTTTCTTGATATAAGTTTTTCTTTTTATATATCCATATACACATCACTGGGGTTCCTTTTCTATAGAATCCAACGTAGCATCATGTCTTTCTATGACTCTATGCCCCACTTTTTATTTGCAGGGCATTTTGATGGCAATATTAGCATAAGACTGAAAATTATGTCACTATTGGATTCTGCTTTTGTCTCTCTGATCACATTCTGTGATCCTTAGGTTTTTGGTGCCAACATGTCTCCCAGTAGGAACAGGTGGGTGGAGTTTAGCTTGCCAATCAGGTCACAGCTTGATTGGAGGGCAACTGAGATAAATGGCTCTGCGGGCTGGCCTCCCTCTCTCTCTGCTTCACCTTCCTGTTGTCAAGCCACTTCAATTCATGCTGATGGCAGCCAGAGCTCTGGAGGTGCATCCACCACCATTGGATCTGCAAGACTTTGCACCCACCGGCCTTTGATCTTCCTGCAGTCTGAATCATTGTGTGTGGCTGCATGAGTCTGAAGAGGGATTTATGGGCTAGTATCAGACTTACGGAGTAGTTTGGACTTAAGGACTTGATCTGGACTGGACTGGAATGTTTGCTTGATTTATAATGACTTCTTGATATAAAGCTCTCTCTTAGATTAATTTGGCAATCTACTTCCAAAACAACAGCCATTAACAATCCTATGGAACACAGTCTTATTCTGACACGTTGGCTGTCTTGAGTAGGAATCACCTGGACATTAACTGGTTATAGTTTGAAGATATTGATGAAAATATGTATAAAGTATATGATTATAGCATTTTATTGAAATTATTATAACAAAAGGTGTATAGAAACTAATAATCCACGTATTTTCCCAAACCTTTCTAATTATTTTGGGTTTAAAAAGGAGTTTTGGGATTTTAAAAAGGTAAAAGAACAATAGAAATAGTTAATAGCTTTTCCATTTAACTTAAAAAGCCTTTTCCATGTTTCCTAAAAATTAAGAAAGCCAATGACTATGATGACAAAATAATAAAATATCTTGAAAATTGGGTTGCTTTTAATAATATTGGAAGTAGAACCAACTACTGATAAATCATTAAAATGATTTTAAAGTAATTTTTGTGATCATTGCATGATATTTTCACAATATAACTTATCAGAAGTTCAAAAACTTGACATTTCTTTACCTCCTTCCCCAAAGGGACCTTCATGCCCATCTACTTGTTTATGTAACAAGATTTCTCAGCAACTCCCGCTGTAAAAATAAAAAGCAGTTCTAGAATTGGTGTTAAAAACAATTTTTCTCCTACCAATAAATAAGATTTTCCATGGATATGAAGCAAGTTAAATTTTTATTCAAATATATTTTGTATCAAAATGTTTAATAAAATTTTAGCATGCATAGCCCCCCAAACAAGGGGATTGCCTTGACCAATTTTGTACTCCAATTAATGGTGCTAATAACTCAATGTAAAATAAAATGGTTAAACCCTCAAAGTCTTTTGGCCATCTCAAAAAATATTCACTGCCACCAACTTAATTCTGACACACAGTGGCCCTAACAGCCAGACTCGAACAGCGGAGACTAAACAATCTTCATGGGAGGAGGGAACCTCACCTCTCTGGAGCGGCTGGTCGGTCCAAACTGCTGACTTTGCAGTTAGCAGTCCAACACGTAATCCACCATGCCTCTTTAAGTCATAGGGTGGAAAATGTTTTTGATTGTAGTTTATATTTTACTATAAAGGATTATATAGGATAATAAGAAAGTCTATTCAAGCACTAAAATAAAAAGATGGATTCCAACATAAAAAATTCTGTGGAGTATGGTGGAAATGTGAATTCAAGGAGGAAAAGGACAAGTGTAAAATCCCAGATGTGGTAATTACATAATCTCATGTCAACTTGAGGATAGTAAGAGTGAAAGAATGGAGTCTAGCCTGGCAATCAGGTCACAGCCTGATGATGCCTCCTTGTGGGCATGGCCTTCTCATGAGGATTCTGGGACCCTCTGTCTCTGTGCTTCACTTTCCTGCTGAGGAGCCACACTCAGAGAGCTAGCAGAGTCGCGTGGAGACCCCCGCGCCAGTGCTAAGATGCTTCACTGCCACTGGATCCACAAGATTTTCCACCTGCCAGCCTGAAAAACCTTCCTGCATGCAGCATCATTGCATGTGCTGCGTGAGCCTAAAGAGGAATTTATGGACTAGTATCAGAATATGGGTTAATGTCGGATTTATGGACTTAATCTGGACTGGGATGTTTTCTCTTTGATAGAAAGCTCTTTCCTGTACATATACATGAGTGTCAATGCATTTGTTTTTCTAGTTGACCCGGTCTAATACACCAGACTATTATGACAGAACTTGTCCAGATACTTCTTAATATGAATCCTAGCACTTATCAAACTGCTTTGATAATAGGAATCCATTTGAACAGTCCAGTGAGCTCTCCAAGATGTAAATCTTTATGAAAGCAGACTGTCTCATTGTTCTCCCACCCAGTGGCTGGTAGGTTCGAAGTGTCAGAACTTTTGATTAGCAGTGGAGCACTTTAACCACTGTGCTACCAGGGTACCACCATCACCCCAAAGCATCATAGGAGAAAACTGGTACAAAAGACTACAAAGATGGTGAAATGAATTCAAATATTTTATAAATCAGGTAACCTCATTTATGTCAAGACAGAGAACTTGGGAGTCATTTTTATCCAGCCACATACAGTTCTTAGTGTGATGTACCAAACCTCACTGCCATCGAGTCAGCTCCGACTCACAGTGGTCCTACAGGACAGAGCTGGGCTGCCCCTGTGGGCTTCTGAGGTGGTGACTCTTCTCCTGAGGAGCATGGTGGGGGTCAGTGGATTCAAAGTGCTGACTTGGCAGTTAGCAGCCTGAGTTGGTTAGTTTATTGTGCCAATCTGGCTGATAAACACAGGTGGGGTTAATTGAAGGGCGGAGGGATAAATGCTTCGTGAGCCTCGCCTTGCGAGTTCTTGGGTCTCTTGCTTTCTGATGGTCGGACCAGGGTGCAGCTGCCTTAGCCAGGTCCCTGCTTCAGCTGGCAAGGCTCACTTCCTGCAAGACATCCCTGAGGAGAAGCCACATGGACCTACCCCGATGCAGCCCTGGGTGCTGGAGAACCTGTGTGGAGACCCCTGCCAGCACTGAGATGCTTACTCATTCACTGATTTGGCTTTCCTCCTACAGTCGGTGTCATAGTGTGTGTTTTGTGAGATGGAGGAGGATTTTGTGGATTGGTGTTGGAAATATGGATTAATGGGTCAAAGTTGGACTTGTGGGCTTGGGCAACACTGGGTTGGGATGTTTTCTTGATGCGCACTTAACCTTTATATAAAAATCTCTCTTATACATGAGTTTCTGTGGATTTGTTTCTTTAAAGTACCCAGACTAATACACAGCCCAACTTGAATTCCATTACATCAGGAAGGCTCCTTTAAGATCATATAGAAAGATTAAAGATAAAAGGATTGTGGAACTATTGAGCAAATAATTTCCTTAGGGAAGCTATTGCAGCAATATAACCGTCCCGTAAAATAGGCAAATAAGGCAAAAGCCAATGAAAGGGACAAAGGGAAAGTACATAACTTGAAAAAGAGCAATTCACTAACATTTACCCATCATAGATTTAGGGGCATTTACCCTGGATTTACATACAGTGAAAACCACAATCATAGAAGGTGATTGTAACTCATCAGTAACAGAATACGATAAACGGAAATAAATCTCCCACCACCACCAAACCATTAGGATACAAGATGTTTGAACAACCAAATTAGCATATAAGAGCTTAAGATGCATATCTTAAGCCTGATGCCATTGAGTGGCTTCTTCTGATGGTGCCTCATTTCCTAGCAGATTTGAACTCCAGAAGGCTTTCGACGATGGCGATTTTTCTGAGGTCGACTGCCAAGCCTTGCTTTCAAGATACCTTGGGTTAGTAGCTGAAATTGCCTTAAATGATGTCTCACTCAGGTAGCCACACACACACACACAAATTTACACACATACCTCTGCAAAAGAAAGAGAAGATATGTTCTTTCAAGTACACATGGAACACGGACAAAACCCTAGCACCAGTCAGCTTTCAAAGAAGTCCCCACAAATCCCAAGTCGGTCAGTACCGATCACATTCTATTAGCACCATAACATTGAACTAGAAAACCATAAAAGGGTAGTTTTTAATTATGAACATGTTTGAGAAAAGTTGTAGTCACTCTTAAAACAGGAGGCCTGGTGGTGTAGTGGTTATGTTTCGGGCTTCTAATAGCAAGGTCAACAGTTTGAAACCACCTGGTTTCTGCTCCCCTGAAGAGTTTGAGTCTCAGACTCACACAGGGGCAGTCCTACCCTGTCCTCCAGGGTCGCTATGAAATGGAACAAAGCGAACGGGCTCCCAACAGTTAGCGATCATTTAGTAGGTCCTAGTTTAAGCTGTGAGGAGCCTAACAAACTATAACCTGAGGACATGTTGTCAGGACTGGTTACGAGAGACCAGCCCCAGGAGCGATCACTCACCTGAGAAGGATGTTATGCCTTATAAGCAGCGGGGGTGGACTTTCTACTGGGTTAAAGAGTTACAGTCTCGGATATTCTCCAGCCCTCTACCCTGTCTTAAGGGGTCACTATGAGTCGGCATTGGCTTGATGGCAGTGGGTGGGTGGGTGAGTGAGTGGTAAGTGGTGAGTGGGTGGGTGGTGGGTGGGTGAGTGAGTGAGTGGT